CTGGTAGCTGGGACTATAGACAGCACCACCATGCCCTGCTAATTTTTTCTATTTTTAGTTGTTTGGCTAATTTCTTTCTATTTATAGTAGAGACAGGGGTCTTGAGCTTGCTCAGGCTGGTCTTGAACTCCTGAGCTCAAGCAATCCTCCCGCCTTGGCTTCCCAGAGTGCTAGGATTACAGGAGCGTCTTGGATTAACTTTAAAGGATTTGTTAATCTTCAAACTGAGTGGCAGGGAAGCACTAAGGAGCAGAGTCATTGCATTTACAATTTCTGGCTACTATGAATTTTACCTATATGACAGTTATTGACTACATGCAAATTTATTTTAGAAATTTTCCCAAGTATGGCAAATCAGAATATATTTGAATAGAAGTACTTTCTCTTTAATATAGAAGTGTGAAGAGAAGAGCAGAGAAATTTCATTAAACTAAAATAGAGAATGGTATTTTAAAATAATCATTATGAAGAGCAAAATACACAAAATTTTTCTGAAAATGTTCTTCCTTTTTGCACAGATTCAACTGTAGTCTCAGAAGCTCTAGTGCACTCAGCATTCTAAGTGTTCCTTTGCATTTGTGTTGAGAGTGGGAGGGTATATGGCTCCTCTCAAAGGACACACATTTGCTTTACATTAATAAACAATAAGATATTCTGAATTTACAAGTTAGGAGCCTAGAATTTAAAATTGCTTCACATAGTCTATGGTAGCATATGATCATTTGTACTATAACTACAAATGATCATTAAAGAATTCAAAACATACTACAGGCATTTTATTTTATTCTTTCCAGATTGCAGGGAGGTAAGAGGAAAAAGATGTCAATGGTTTCATTTTACAGGTGAGACTATACTGAGATTAAATAATTTATGTCCAGATCCCTGGTATAGCAGAACAAATAATAGCAAAAGCATCTCTTTGCTTCTGCATAGACACTATTCTAGTCTAAAAATATCCCTTATTTTTAAAATGTATATTATCATGTAATAAATTATTAATAAGTAATATTAATTATTTATGGTTTTTATTTGAGTTTGGGTAAAATGGACAAACAAGTGGCTTCAGAAGCTCAAAGGAATATTACTGATGATAAATGTGATCAGTGACATTTTTCTGGTTTTGTCTTCAAGCTATACTTACAGCATTAGTTTTAGGCTGTGGTTTCTACATCACTATAATATGTAGTAAAAAAAACTTAAAAAATGACAGTCAACAAAATAAGTTGTTGCTTTTCACTAAGAAACAAACTGGTTGAACAAACTTACCGCAACTCAAAATTTTGTGAAAATCTGTAGAATCATGCAGAAACATCTAGAAAATATTATTTCAGAAAAGTCTTCATTGAAGAACTAAGCACAAAATAAGGGTGCAACGGAAATATATAGTGATTGATTTATTAAAACAGGAATGTAAGGAACTGATGCAATTGTCTTATTACACAGAAAATCTTACCTATTTGAGACCAGTTATGTGGGAGGAAATGATTTAACAATATAACCATGTTGGCATTACTTAGAACAAATAAGGTCAGTATTCTCATTTGCATAAATTACTCAAAGACCTCTAATAAATATGACCTTAGAATTTCCCTTATCAGAAAAAGGAAAACAAAAAGGGATAGCTTTGAAACAATGGAATCCAAATAATACAATTATAGCTCCCATTCACACATCACATTTGATAGTGTATTTTATTCAAAAATAACTCCATGGCAGATGTGAGAAAAACAAACAGATACAACATAGTCTGGTTCTTTAGTGAGGCTAACCTTGGTTTAAACCCAGGTTCTGCCACTTCCTATTTACGTAAACTTGGCCAAGTTGTGGGAACAATAATAGTATTAATATCTACCTAAAATGGTCACTGGGAGGTTTGAATGAGATTGTAAATGTAAAGAGTTTAGTGCTGTGGCTGTCACATACTAAGGATTATTACGTATTACCTCTTGTGGTTGTTTTTAATACCTGCCTTCTTTGTCAGTGACTAAGACCCACAAGATATAGCACAAAATCAAGGTTAACTAAATGCAGGATTTAATCTATTTTTCTCTATAAACTATCTCTCTCAATAGTTCCCTCTTAAATAGGATAATAATATTATCCTAAGTAATGTCTCAGTGACTTTAGAAAGATCAGTCTATAATCTAATTGAAAGTTGCCACAATTTTTAATTTAATACCTCACTTTAATTTGATTTTCTTCAAATTCCTCATTCTGCTGTGTCTGATAATTCATTCCTGCAGAGACTGCACAATTACTGTAAATCACTTACTCTATTTTGGTGTACATAATAGTTTTATTCATATCACTTTATTTCTCTTAATAATGGCATTCTGTATTGTCATGATACCACTTCTAATGCTTCATTTTGCCAAAGATAGTAGAAAAGCAAGATAATAGCAAATAACTCCTAATGGATTACATGTCAACAGACAAGAATTATAAGGATTGATACTGCTCTATTTTCTCTGGATTTAACTGATTCTGTACTAGTCTACAGAATCTAGTCTAAGAGTAAAACATATATCCAAAATGTATCACTTCTATAGCATAATATATTATGGGCCTCATCTTGTAAAAATAGCCACCTCAGTTTTAATGGGCTTTCAACTAACTCAACTTCAAAGTATCTTTTATTGTTCTTACCAAGTTAGAAATTTTACAATAGTGTCAAGGTGAGCTTGTTATGATCTCATGCTTTATTCATTTGTTCTGTTAGGCACAATTATGATCATAGTTTATGCTGCAAAAATTACCAAGAACAAGTACAAATGCTAGCCTCAGTAACACAGATAAATGTATTCCAGAGGAACTATTTTGACCTGAAGCAGCTGAATACTTTTGCTTCAGCTATGAGAGTAATTTTATATAGTTACAGCTTAAAGTTAGGGCACTTTGGGTAGATAATAGAAATGATACTAATTTATGAAAACCGACCAGCGAATCAGAGAAAGGAAAATATAAATGATGAAATTTTCCTTATGAGAAAGTTCTTATAATAGAGTATTTAAAAATTACTGTTATGTTAAAAGTACTAACTTATGCTATATACACATATGAAATAAATGATTGATTGATTTATTCTTTGAAACATTCCCCTAAGCTTTATGACTTTATGACTCTTTATCAAGTACATAAAGACAGCATGAAAAAAAATCACAAATGAGCTGGTTTTAAAGTATTATCTATGTATGAGGTGGAAGAAATTCTCTTTTTCTCCCATTTTACCTCTCCATTGATGATTTCCATGTCTTAGAATATAGCATTTTAATTTTAGGTCTTTTAGCATTTAACTCAGCAAGCAATAATTCCCAGATTCCCTGTTCATCTTTGGAAGTATGGATGACTCAGAACTGGGTTGGAACGCTGCCTCTTCTCCCTGGAAATACCCACAGACACATCTCAGTTTCACTGCTGTTCTAGGAATCGGCCCAAATCATATAGAAAGTTAATTTTTTAATCTTTTTTTTCATGAATATATGACCCCTAAGAGTGGAATTAGACAAAAACTAGTTACTAAGCTGAAAACAGCCAAATACTGATTACTTAAAGATATTTTGAATCAAGCTGTGGCTCTTGGCTTGGAGATGAACAAGGATATTTTCAGTCTTTCCCTTGTTTTGCAGTTGGAAAAGTATATTCTCAGGTGCAGGCTGAGTGAAAGCTTCTGGGAAAAGTGGTAGCCTGGGCTTTGCCACAATGAGCAGTACACCTAGAAGCTGGCCTTGTGGGACAAGATGATAACAATGGCTTTCGTTTCAGTTCTTCCCCCAAAGTTAGTGTACAGCCTGCAATCTTCCCTATCCAGGGATCCTTAAAAGTTTGAAAATTATTGTCAGTGATAACACAAGAGTATGCACAAGCTAATGATGCAAAGTGTTAATTTGTCTCAGTTGCCAAAGACCTTTAAATGTTACTGGATCTGTTTTGTTGAAATAGTTTTGCATATTTTAAATGCATTGCAAGTGCTTTCTTTGCTTACCTACACTAAATTATTAAGCTAAATTGCTTCATTTAATTAGGCTACAGATTCCTAGTTTACTCAAACTTTTTAGTAATATTACAATTTTCCTAATATATAGAAAAACCTTTTACAGTCTGGGGAGTGAAATGACACTATCTGACTCAACTGATGTCACAGATATATTATGCCCCAGTGTTTACAGATGGGAAGAATCCATGAGATTCACTGAAGTGTGTCCATTCCCTTAGAGTTCAACTCTTGTAATGTTTTTCTTCTTATACTTAACTCTTTTGGAAGTGCTCAAGCTTGCATTTTCTTATGTAAAAGATTTTCCTAAGCTCCCTTTTGGCCTACTTCATTACTTGGCTTCACTTCACATGTTCTCATTTTTGAACTTGTTATTCTCTATGGACGAAGTTTTTGACATCTGCTTCTCTTTAATAATGAAAACTCTTATACATCCTGGAATTACTCCTACCATGATCTGCTCACGTTTCTTACTTTTGCTATAGCAATTGGATGGGTGGACCGAGAACATCATTATGACCCTTGTTTTATTTTATTTTGTTTTTCAAGTAACTAGAAGTCTCAATTTTCTAATTCCTCAGTGGAACCTTTTTAGATTCTATCTCTTCTCTTCTCTTTTGTTAAATGTTCTTAGTGTCATTGTGTTTATTGTGAAACACATAAATATCAAGTCATAGCTATAAAGTCAGCTTTTTCAATAGGTAAAGAAGATGGAATAGATCCCTCTGGCCCAGAATTATTTGAATAAATTCTATAACATTCTACATTTCCAGTCTATGCAATTCACAAAAATGTTCATACTATTAATTTTAAATGGTGTCTTATTTATTTAGGAATTTATTGTTTGCTAATTCATTTGTAGAAAGATAGACCAAAGGAGGGGCAAATTTGGGACATAGTGGCAAATGTTACTTTATCATATATCTGTACATATTAAATGAGGAATACATCATTTTATTCTGAAAAAATAAAGTTTAAAAGCATATCACATATCTGGCATACCACTTCAGGATCCTCACTGGCTATTGAACTACTCTAATAGAATCTCATCTTTCAAAGAGAAAGAAGGCTCAGAAGTTTAATAGCCTCTATTATTAGCCTTTGCTCATTCTTCAGTTAGCTCCAAGTATTTAAAAGTCAACGTCTGGAGCCTTTTTCATCAGTTTCATCAGTTCCAACTGATGCCATTTGGTGTCATACAGAAGTATACAGCTTTCCAGGGGCAGCGCTCAATTGGCAGTGAGAAATCATCCATGATTAATTTACAGAACCTATCCTAAGCATCTGGTAGTAGATTCAGGATAATGGCAGTAAGTGACTTGCAGCCAGGTGACCGGGTCTCTGCATTCTTCAGGCACAGAAGATGGTTAAAGAAGCTGAGTAAGGAGGGCTTGGAAGGGCCCAGTTCTGCATGTTTTCAGGAAGGCCTGTCGTGCCAGGTACTTTGAAGAGTCAAACTGGGAGAGGAGGCAGTTTGGAATCAAATGGTAAGGGTTAGAGTAAGTAGAGGTAAGCAGCCATTAAGATTTTATTTCCATGTTATTTCACTGCTTCTTTCATAATCCTTCCCTTTAACTTTCCCGTCCAGGTGCCCAAATGCTCACATTCCCATTCCCAGGAGTAAAATGCCTGTGGAAGTAGAAGACGGATGGTGCTGCAATTGAATGTGGAGTCAGACTGCTGGGTAGCAGAATCTCAGCTTCCTCACGCCGAAGGAGGTCTGGCGTGGCTGTTCATATTCTAGCTAAGAAGGAGGTGTCCCGATGCAAGCACCTGGCATTTTCCCCATCTTTGCTGCCCGGTCAAAAATGCTGCCTCTCTACACTCACTTGATTTCTGGATCATGGTTTGAGAAGCCTGGTTCTGCGGACTCCCTAAGTGAAATTTTCCTAATAGTGATTTCCTAAGGTCCCAGCTTAGCTGGTGATTTTGTAGCTGGCTGATTTGAAAGAGCAGAAGTGCATCTATTTGAAACATACTTAAGACCGACTTGACGCTGGGCAATGAGGATTCAGTGGAAAACCAGACGGACACAGATCCTGCTCTCCCAAAGCTTATCTTCTGGTGGACGCAAAAGTTGTTTCCCAACGTCTGCGCTGCACCCATCATCAGTTCTGCCCAGGCCGAGGAGTCCTGACAGGGTGAAGTTCACCGTTCCAGCGAAGGAGAACACAGCGTTCCTGCGGGTTATTGTAAGCTGGCCTCAGCTCTCGGCTGACAAAATCTGAAAGAACATAAAATCGCAGAGCAGCGAAGGAGGCGGGGGTCTGTCAAAGTGGCTTCTATTAGCGTCAATACGGCGAAGTCAGGGGACCTCGCTGGAGCCTGAAAAACTTCAAGCCAAACAAACTCTGAGATCACACCTCCCACCCTCCACCCCTCCTGTCCTCCGGCGAGCCTCGGCCGCCGCCGCGGGACCGCTGCCCCCGGGCAGCCCAGGGGCGGCAGGGGGGCTCGGAGAGAGCGGACTCCGCGGTCTCTTCCCCTTCGTCCCCATCCCGAACATGGGCTTCGCCCTGGAGCGCTTCGCCGAAGCCGTGGACCCGGCTCTGGAGTGCAGGCTGTGCGGCCAGGTGCTGGAGGAGCCCCTGTGCACGCCGTGCGGGCACGTCTTCTGCGCCGGCTGCCTGCTGCCCTGGGCGGCGCGGCGGCGCCGGTGCCCGCTGCAGTGCCAGCCCCTGGCGCCGGGCGAGCTGTACCCGGTGCTGCCGCTGCGCAGCCTCGTCCAGAAGCTGCGCGTCCGGTGCGACCACCGCGCCCGCGGCTGCGGCCGCACGGTCCGGCTGCACGAGCTGGCGGCGCACGTCGAGCACTGCGACTTCGGCCCTGCCCGCCGCCGCCGCGGCCGCGGGGACTGCGCCTCGGGGCTGGGGCTGCAGCCGAGACGTGCCCGCGCGGGGGGCTGCGGCCGGCGCCCGGACGCGGGGCGGGCGCGCGCGGGGCGACAGGCGCCTGCTGCGGCGGCGGCGGCGGGCGGGGGCCCGGCCTCGGGTTCTCGCCTGGAGGCGGCGCGAGAAGGCGCTGCTGGCGCAGCTCTGGGCGCTGCAGGGCGAGGTGCAGCTCGCGGCCCGCAGGTACCAGGAGAAGTTCGCCCAGTACATGGCTCACGTCCGCAACTTCGTCGGGGACCTGGGCGACCGCCGCGGCCTGGTAAGTGCAGAGAGTGAGGGCACGGGGAATGGTCGACTGGGGGTGGGGTGGGGGCAGAAAAACGGTTCTTGCTGGCCCTTCAGGATTCCCTGGAAGGGCGCATCCTTCCTTGCCATGAGGTAGGAAGCCTCTGCGCGCCTCACCACGCTTCACTGTCATTATCTTAGGAAAGTATTAGTATTACAGTTCACAAGGATGGCCCCTTGCCCCTTGTGTTAGCACTGCAAAGAGTTAAACAGATTCAATTCCAACTTCCCCCGAGAAGCACGGATAGGGAAAACTCCTTTCCCATCCAGGCTCTTGTTCCCCATCTTTGACTGTCCTGCCCGCCGTCTCGGCCTGTTTTATTTACATCCTTGCCCTGTGCCTGAAGCAGATCCGACAAGGAAAGCGGGGAAGCGAGGACCTCTCCGGCCCTGCTCTCCTCTGGCGCCGCCGCCAGCACCCCCGCGGCCTGGCCGCCGCACACCTGGGCATGGCCATGGCTCTGCGCGACGTGCTTGCTGTGCCACACTGCCGTGCCAGCTGTCTTCAGTTGATACTCAGCTGGGGACTATGAGGGATGTGGGGGACCGGACGGCCTCGAGGCTTGAGAGATGGGATATCTTAGACCTGCAGAGTTGTCACCCTCACTTTCCCTAGATAATTCTTCCCTGCCTCAGGATCTCTTTATTGGTGGAGAGTGTGAGTGTGTGTGTGAGTGTGTGTTGAGTGTGTGTGTGAGTGTGTGTTGAGTGTGTGTGTGAGAGTGTGTGTGTGAATGTGAGAGTGTGTGTGTGTGAATGTGAGAGTTGTGGTGTGTGTTGAATGTGTGTGTGAGAGTGTTGTGGGGTGTGTTGTGTGTGTGTGAGAGAGTGTGTGTGAGAGTGTGTGGTGTGTGTGAGAGTGTGCAGTGTGTGTGAGAGTGTGTGTGAGTGTTGTGTGTGAGAGTGTGTGAGTGTGTGTGAGTGTGTGTGCGCGCGCGCGTGAGGCTAGGGAGCCCAGTGGAGAGCAGCCACATCCACCGCGGTCAGAAGGGCCCCGCGAGCCCCCGGGCAGCGGCTGTTTCCCTTCTTTGTCGAAGCTGCTGGTCCCGAACCGCGCCCGTGACGCCCGCTTTCAGACCGCATAAACAAGCCTCTTCGCAGCACCCCGTGTGAAGAGGCTTGTTTATAAAGCTGTTACTTCTCTCCTGGAGGACTTCTGCACAGTGTTTGACATTGTTGGCCGCTGCCATGGTGAGCAGGGATTTAGCAGAACTTGCGCTCCATTCAAGGAGCTGTTTTCATTCTTCAGCACTCGGGGAAGGAGCAATCCAGAAGGATTCCCATTTGGGACCGACGGCTTCGCACTGCCTCCAACTCAGGCACCGAGTTTAGAAGCTTGTCCTTGAACCTAAAAAAAAACATGGAAGTGAGAAGGACTAAAATGTTAAAGGGAAGCATACTCTCTGTATTAAAATATTGGTTGCAAGGATTTTTTCTCTAGTGTGTGTGTATATACATACACATGCATACGTGTATATATATACATATATGTAAATTTACAAAATGGGAAGACCCAGGGAAAAGCTGTGAATTATCAGTCCAGGTTTCCAGGTCTTAGGGAACCGATGGTTGATGGAAAGGAGCAACAGCTAGAATTATGTCAGAGAAATCCATGCAACAAGTCAAGCTATAGTTCTGAGAAGTGAGGAACAAACTGGCCCCGATTTGCAGACTTCCAAAACCATCTCTGTGCTCCTCAGAAATAATTTTCCACCACCAGTAGGGGCTGCTGTGCGCACTGCCTGGGGAAAAGCTCCTGGGAAAAAATGGTAGTGATGGTAGTAGTGGTGATGATGTTTATGGAATTTTATCATTCCCAATTAGTTTCCAAATATGTAATTTCATGAAGATAATAATATTCATAACCATGAGTAAATCTCATCTATTCCTGCACTATTTTATCTTATATTTAAATGAGTCTTTACTAATAAACAGGTTAAAGATATAACTACTATTTGTTTAACTATTATTTGGCCATCAGGAAAGAAATACATACTACTCTATCTAGCACAAATCTTATTTTTTTCTTATTTTGCAGGAATTATGCAAAACCAAGTAGGAATATTACATAAAATTAAAACTACTGTAACGTAACAGATCCTGCATTATAATAGCAAGCTGAATATTACTACTGCAAGCAATTTATAGATAATTCAGTGTCCCTTAAATCCTTTGAGACTTTCCAAAGTGAAAATTTTATGTAAAATGTTGCTAAGATCTGTTGACAATTTATTGTACTTTTCTGTAATAGAGAGAAAAATAAAGATACCTCCATGGTTAAACTAGAAATCTGTTTTAAATTACATTGAAGTCAGAATGAGATGATGCATTAGGATAAAGGGTAGCCTACATGTATAAAAATACAAAGCCAAAAAATTGGGTTTTTTTCCTCACATGCACGTTCTTTTCAAATTCATACTTTTGAAGTAAGTGTAGGAAGAAGTTAACCTGCCAAATTCAATCATCCTTAATTTTAAGATTTTTCTCCCTTTCAAATGTTAATTTAGTTATAGTTTTTAAAAAAGCTTACCATTTTTCTTTTATATATTTTTTACCTAGTTGTTCATTTTATCTCGTTTCTTCTAGGATGGAGAACATAAGCCTTTCACTATCATGTTAGAAAGAGAAAATGACACCTTGGGATTCAATATTGTAGGAGGTCGACCAAATCAGGTAACTATCTTGTTAATGCATTACTCTTTCCTTATTAAATAGTAGAACACTTAGCTTTCATTTGTGAATTTTGAGTAAGAAAAACAAGTGGTTTAACCTTTAAAATTAGGCTTGTGATAAAATATCAGATTTTTCCGATGCATACCCAGATTTTCTTTTTGAGAAAAGCAAAAACAACAGTTAACAAACTTGGTTCTCTTTGCTACTTTAAAAAAAGAAAAGGAGACTACATTTCATATTTTCTCTAAATTTTATATTAATAGTTCCATTGGCAGACTTCTTAAATAAACCTATTTGATAATATGTATAGGCAACTTCTGTTCGATATTATTAGGCACTTGTAATACCTGCTTCTCCCTCTTACTCATTAAGTTAAATTACTCAGTTCTTAGATGCTAACACAGACTGAGAAGTTAAGAATATTTGTTGAATGAATGAACAAATGAACAATTGAATAAGGGATAATTATTTTCATAATCATACAAGAAATAACATATTAAGGCAAGATAGTGGATTTAAAATATCTTTGGCTTTCCAAATCAGATCCTTTATTTATTTGAATGAATAATACTCTATATGTTGATGCCAATTGTTTTTCAAAATGCATATTATACTGTAGTTGCATAGTTCTTTTATATCCTTTAACTCCTACGTCAGCATAATTTTCAACATAACTGGAAAAAGGTGGTGAGGTTTTAGAAAATTACGTTCTTTAATTTTCCCAATAAACTGCATGAAATTTTTACATCCTGCATTGCAGATGTTGTCCAAAGAAACTGTCTTAGGGTTTTGGGCCATATGCTATGTTTAGGTTAGAATAGTAATGTCATATTTCCTACTTGTGTTTAGTATTTCAAAAACCTAGCAACTAATGACTGCTGTGCTTCTGTGTTTAAAACAGTTCCCATTAATTATGAACAGATAGAAGTCTTTTCATCATATCATTTTTGTTCTCTTTTTATTTAAGGAATGTTTTTTTATAAATACTAGTTAGGTATTTGACATTTAGATGACAATGGACATTTTTAGGAGCCTCTCAAAATTCATGGTAAACAAAGCTAATAGAAGATAAATAATTTTATTTAACCTCCCATGAAGTCAAGTGACATTTAAAATCATATGATATATTACTAGAGGATGTTGAACATTTTCCTTAAATAAGTTTTACAATAGAATTGATTTCTTGTGACTAAAATGTCCCTTTTGTACCATACTGGCTATATGTTTGAGGTTTAACTAATCAAAAGGCACATTGCACTGGAAATATGTAAAGATTAGCTTTGAATGGGTTCCTTTGCAGTTTAGCGTTGATGTTTTGGGATTTTATACTTGAGTAAGAAAGTACAGTCTCCATTATAAATAGATACAGTCAGAACTATGTTTTCAAATCTATCACATTGTGAAACTAAATTATATTTTCAAAACTGTGACCACAACTGATTGAGATAGAATAGCATCAGGTGATGGTTAAGGGCACAGACACAGAAGCTCTTACTCTGTGACCCTGGTAAATTACTTCTCTCTGTGTCTCAGTTTTCTCATCTGTAAAATGGGGATACTACCAGTATCTATAGTACCAAACCTCATAGAGTTGTGGGGATAAAATGGATTGAGACCTGTAATGAACCTAAAGAATACTTGACATATAATAACCAATAAGTATTAGCTATTATATTTTCATTATGTTAATCAGCCAAGTGGCTGCCAGGAAAGACACACAAGCCCTGCCTTAAAACTTAGCTTATGGCATTCTTCCTAAATCTGAAAAGCTTTTGCTCCACCTACTATAACCTCCTAACCTATCTCTCATTTTTCCTGTAAAGGTTCTTTCAAGTACTGTTTACTCTGAAAGCTTCAGGCTACCAGGGAAGTCTTCTTGGTGGCTCTTCTATGCCAATCATTCATCATGTGTTCCATTTTTGGTTTTTGTTTTGTTGTTGTTGTTTGTTTAATGTACAGCTATCTTCTTGTCTTGATTATAAGCTCTTGGAGGTACCTGTAATCACTTAAAGGTCATTTTACCTCCAGAGACAAAAGCCTATTGTCATTCAAATATGTGTTTATATACTTGGTGAATAATGTTTGTGGTAAATTTTACTGTGAAAACTAATTATCTTTGATATAACTAACACATTTTTGTTAATTAATGGTTTCTTTTCTGAAATGATTTCACAAAGTCAATTTATTATTTCCTTTAACTTCAATGTGATAAATTATGTGAGTAATTTATAGTACAAATTGGTCATATGCTACAATAGACTATGTGAAGCAATTTCAAATTCTAGGTTCCTAACTTATAAATTCAGAATATCTCACTGTTTATTAATTTAAAGCAAATGTATATCCTTTGCAGAGGAGCCATATACCCTCCCACTCAACCCAAATGCAAAGGAACACTTAGAATGCTGAGTGCACTAGAACTTCTGAGCACATAGTTGAACCTGTGCAACAAGGAAGAGAATTTTCAGAAAGATTTTGTGTAGTTTGCTCTTCATAATAATTATTTTAAAATGCCTTTCTCTATTTTAGTTTAATTTCTTTGCTCTTCTCTGAACACTTTTATATTAAAGAGAAAACACTTCCATTCAAACATATTCTGATTTACCATAATTGGGAAAATTTCTAAAATAGATTTGCATGTAGTCAATAACTGTCATATTGGTAAAAATCAAATGATCATTAAAGAATTCAAAACATATTGTAGATATTTTATTTTATTCTTTCAAGATTTCTGGGAGGTAAGACCACAAAGTAGAGTTTTCTTTAGTGCATATATTAAAAATCTATTTATTTAGCTTGAAATTCATAATGAAATGCAACATAAAAGGCATTTTCTTGAGAAATAGTTCTCACATTGAATAGTGTCAGTGTAGCATTTTTCATGAAGTACTGAGTTTGGTATGAGAAGAAAGAACCTTACAAATCAGGAATTTTTAACTATTACCAGACTCTCAACTCAGTTACATACAGTGGGGAATAGATATGCTCTTTTTCCTTCTTTAACCTTATCACCCTCTTTACTTGCTACATCTCTTTAGAAGTGAGATTTTTTATAAATAATACTTAGGAGCCAATTGAGCTCACCTTTTACATGCTCTTTCCCCATAGCTTTTTGTGTGTACTCAAAAAATGTGAAGTAAATAGATAAGCTTGTCAGAGATGCTGGACTCATTCATTAAGACTGCCATCTTGATTAATGACTACTTGGTGTTAAATAAGTTAAAATTCTGTGCCAAATCCCAAGCTAAGAGAGTTGTATGTTTAAGGAGGATTGGCAATGTTACATTTAGTAAATTGTCCTTTATAAAATTTAGATTTTGTTTACATCTCTCTTTCTGCTAATGATTATGTTTTTTTATAGAATAATCAGGAAGAAACATCAACTGAAGGAATTTATGTTTCAAAAATTTTAGAAAATGGACCTGCTGACAGAGCAGATGGCCTGGAGATTCATGACAAAATCATTGAGGTAAGACAATAATAAAACATATATATGATCCATGAAAAAGATAATTGGCTATTTTAAATTTTCAAACTTCTTGCTTTATTTTGGTGTGGCACTTATTAGAATATATTTTCTAACTAGCAGTAGATGCATTATCGTTTTTTATTCCTTACAGAAAATGTAAAACTCTACAATGACTCTATATTTATTAGTAAATATTGTGATAAGAGAGTGAAACACCCAGAGTTTCCAAATGTGTTTATGAATATCTCTATTTTAATAAATTGTCCCTCCCCAGGAACCGTGAAAATACTTGTATGATTATTAAGGGATTAATTTTTATAACATTTCAAAAAAGGATGATAAATCTCTGCTGCAAAACATTTTTAATGAGAAAATATTACTATCTTTTAAACATGTGATTAATAGGTTATATAGATAGGGTTTGGAATTATTTATTCAATGCCTTTAGTATTTCTTAGTGTGATGTGGTTACCTCATTCATGTCTTTAGTGTTTACATGAAAGAAAAAGAAAAACATGTTTTTTCTTCCTATTGCAAAAAGCTGGAGAAAAGTCTTCATTTGCTGTAGAATTTATTGTTATATTCTTGGGTAACAAAGTAAACACCTATATGCTTGTAAAATTGGGCTGTGGTAATGAATTTGGGGGTCATTGCCATCTGCTACCTCTGTCCTTTTGACATTTTATTAACTGGTTGACATAGAATTATTTGATATTACCAAAAATAATTAGGTTACTTTTGTCAGTAGATTTATTTCTAATGTATTAGTAGAGGTATAAATAGAAATTGGGAAGGTTTATGTGACTCCACTGTTCTTTTTGGAAAAATTCTGTTATTCTGGACAAAAAATCACTAGTGCTATCTTTCTAAATATCCATATAGACTATCCAGATGGAGGCTGTTTTTCTTTATTAAACTTTGATTAAAGTTTTAGATTCTTATTCATTCTTTGTGCACTAAACAAAATTGAATTTTGAATAAATAGACCTAGAATAAGAGTAAAGAATATAGAAGGGCCAATAGTTTTCTGTTTTGGAACAAAAGAGTACTCAACATTTAGAAATTAGCTGACTAGGCATTTTGGGAATTTGTCTTTTGCTAAAAACTGTGGTTTTATGTTTTGTTTTTTAAAACCTAAAGAGCTCTCTTGTATCAGTCAAGATTTTCTCCTTCCAGTTGTATAGCCAAGAAAGTACAAACCTACTTTCACTGTAGCTGTCCAGTTTGTTTTGACAGTTTGCCTAGTGGAAACATTTACATGTTGTAGTTTCTAAAGTTAGAATTTTTCTATTTCTACTTGTGTTTGTGCAGTATGATTTAAAAGGTAAGACAATTTAAACAAAATGTTGTCCTTATTACTTTCTGCCTTATCTCTAAAGCATTTTAGTTTTTTCAGTTAAAAGGAAAATGAATTACATTTGATACTAATAGAAGGGCTGATGAAACTGAATACATACATTCAATTATACACACACACACCAGGACAGAAACATGCACTGATGATTTAAAAAATAATTTACTCTGGCTACAATGTTATATATGCTTCATTAATGTATTAAAAGAGAGAAAAATAAGTATTATTTTATGTTATGATAAACACTTTTGTTAAAACACATTGATTTTTTTAAGGTAAAGAGGTAATTTTATAAAAACTATTGTTGACAAATCAAGTATATCTAGACATCTATCTGGTACTGTTGCAAATATATGTCAGATTAACCTTATTTAAACCCTATAAGATAAAAGAGAAGATCAACCATGGAAATCCAAATGGAATTTATAATTAACTGTAGTAGTATTATTATTCATTTTGTTGCATATATTAGCAGTTAATGACAAGAGCTTGAAATTTGTCTCAATGATATAAATGTTTCAACATATCTTTCCTCCCAGGGTGTGCTGATAATATATATTTGTGTATATATATATTTGTGTGTATTTGTTATACCTCTATAATGGATCAATGCGACTATATGTGCAGTTAAGAAATGAGTTAGATGATGTGCATATTCTGGAATGCTATCTGTTAAATAGCATGAAATATTTTAGAAGGAAGGTTATTAGAAATAAATCTCTCATATTTAGTTGCTCGGTGATGCTACCAGCTTTTTGAGTGAATACATATTTGTGTGACTTTAGTATCTAGTTAAACAAGTAGCACGTTTGTTCTTGTGTATATATTTGTGTTATAAAAGATTCCTGTATACCAATTAATGTTAGAAATATTTGCTTATCAGTTATTTGAGTTCATCTGTCATTATAGTATTAATCAATTGTAAGCAGTTTATAGCTAATGGGAAATTGATACGAAATGTATCAATTAATTAAAAATGTGCAGAGCCACATTTTAAAAACAGATTTTTAAAATAAAGAGAATAGTTTCTTCCCATTTTGTGTTCAATTATTTGTTAATGGAACAAACTTAATGAATTATTTCTTTTAGTTTTTGTATTTCAAATGGCCACGCTGATTTAAACCTAGTGCAACAAATATATTTGTTAAATATAAAGAGCAGAAATAGTTCCTTTATTGTGAAATTACCCATATGACTTAACTGCCACAATCTGACACATTACTAAGTGCGTGGAATTCAGTGATATGTGACTGAAATAAAAAATAGAAACTGTAAGAGAGTTCATTTTTTACTCATAGTCAAGATATACTAAAAAATACTTTGTCTAGTTAATTTCTTGAAGCACACATACAACATGTTTACGAATTGTTTTTATAAAATAACAAAATTTTCCTGAGTCGTTTGAATAAGAAAGGAGGTGTGTTAAAAGTTTGGTTCTATTGATAGTTAAAGAGATTTTACTAATTCTAATAAAAATATTGGTTATAACAATTTGCCACAGTTTAACAAAGGCCAATGACTCCAAAAGTATTATTTTTAAAATATTCTGCATTCTACTCAAACTGGTCAAAGTCAGGAATCATAAAAGAATAAGAAAATCACAGTCATGAGGTAAATCCATGTTGTTTTTCACACAATACAAGGCAAATTAATTTTTGAGATCAGAATCCACAAGCAACCATGTTGACCAGTTTCTAGCTTTTCCCATATCCATATTTGTTAAAGTATTTATGTGTGTGAATTTTTAAAAAGAATCAACTGTAATATTTGAGTTACAATATTAGATGTCAAAATGTCACTGAAAACTGAAAAGGCAGAAGATATTGTTGAAAGCATTTTCAAACATCGCAGATATTCACATAGACCAGTAACTCAGCAGTGTATGTTGGAATAAAAGCACCTTTTGCGTGTGTATTTCACCCTTTCAAGACTCAAAAGGACCATGGAAGAGATCCTATCAGAGACTTGGACACAATTCTGGAAGAGGACAATACCATGCATGACCATGGTTATCATCATATTAAGAGGCCTGAGGGGTATGTGAGAGGGAGTTTAAAGTTCACTGCTGCTGTCAGCAACTGTTCCTCTATTATTTCTTTGATGCTGATAGCAGGCAATGCAACCATAACCCCAGAGTAGGAAAGGGCGGCTGGCTAGTCATTCATGGCTCTTTGTTCACACTTTTTTTTGAGACGGAGTCTTGTTCTGTCGCCTCCAGCTAGAATGCAGTGGCATCAGCCTAGCTCACTGCAACCTCAGACTCCTGGGCTCAAGCGATCCTCCTGCCTCAGTCTCACAAGTACCTGGGACTACAGGTACACTCCACCACACCTAGCTAATTTTTCTATTTTTTGTAGACACCGGGATGGAGGGAAGTTTCCATTTTTGCTCAGGTGGGTCTTGAACTCCTGGCCTCAAGTGTTCCTCCAGCCTTGGCCTCCCAGAGTGCTAGGCTTGTTTACACTTTCTTCTCTCCTTCCCCCAGTTCCTAGCCAATGCTTTGTGACAGGAAAGTGCTACAGGCACAGTGTTTACCCACCCTTCTCTCAACTTCTAGAGACCAGAGGGTGGAGCTGAAGGTCCATGGGGCCTCTGAGATGGACAGTTCAGAGCACAAAGTAGAGTTTTGTTTAGTGCTTATATTAAAATCTATTTATTTAGCTTGAAAGTCAAAATGAAATGCAACACAAAAGGCATTTTCTTTTACTTTAGTAATAGTTCCCAGCATTGAATAGTGTCAGTGTAGCACTTTTCATAAAGTGCTGAGTTTGATAGGAGAAGAAAGAACCTTACAAGTCAGGAATTTTTAACTACTACCAGACTGCGAACTACACTTTCTTTTAGTTTTGTAACATTATATCCCCTGAATTTTTGTTGTCACCCTCTGCACTGCTGAAGTAAAAATCTTTGATAGTTGTCATGTTTTTGGCTAAGTCTCTGTATAGTTAGATTACAGCTGTTAAAGCAGGAAAATCAAATACAGATTAGGGCTAAACATTTAGGAATTTTATTGAATCACTCTGCAAGGTGCTACCTCTGTGTGTGCCTGGTGGTACACTGTACTTTACTATCTCACACAGCAGCAGTGCTGATTTGTTTATGCACAAGAATTTATTTCATTACAGGTTTTGTAGGTCAGTCACCTCTAAATCTGGTGGGCAGTTGGTTTTTTGACAAATTGCTGTTTAACTGGAACACCTCACCAAATTCTTCAATAAAATAATATCATCATCCCATATTTTTAAAGTATATTTTAACTGACTATTCAAATAACAAAGACTGATTGTCTGAAAAAATAAGAAAAGACCTAAATGCAATCATATTAGTGCAAGACTTACCTTATAAATGAGATTTGTAATCATAATTCAATACTACTAAATTGAATGCAGTCTTAACACCATGATACAGTTAACATATAATTGTCCATTTTAATGTATTTTAAAAAGTATTAATACTGTGTTTCCCTGAAAATAAGACCTATCCATAAAATAAGCCATAGCAGGATTTCTAACCATTTGCACAATATAAGACCTACCCTGAAAATAAGACCTAGTGATGGGCGTGGCTACGCAGTGCATCTGCACAACCCATGCATTTCGTATTGGAGCAATAAAGATGACCAAAAGCCCTTCTCATCTGCCCCATG